TGGGCACAAAATTTTGCAGAACCAGTGATGTTGGAAACATGGGAAAAAATATGGGTTCAGAATGTTAAATTTACACAGTCGCAGAATTTGAGGGAAAACTTTTATAAAATGTTTTATAGGTGGCATTTAGATCCTAAGAAATTATCGTGTATGTATCCTAATGTTCAACCAAAATGCTAGAGGTGTGATTGCCTAGATGCCACATATTATATGTGGTGGACTTGTAAGAAAGTGAAGGCTTTTTGGATAAAAATTTGGTGGGTTATGCAGAATGTTTTAAGGAAAAAAATTCAGGTTTTTTTTTTTTTTAATTTGATTTATATGCCGCCCTTCTCCGGAGACTCAGGGCGGCTTACAATGCGTTAAGCAATAGCCTTCATTCTTTTGTATATTTTATACAAAGTCAGCTTATTGCCCCCACAAACTGGGTCCTCATTTCACCTACCTTAGAAAGGATGGAAGGCTGAGTCAACCTTGAGCCTTGGAGAGATTCGAACCAGCAGTAATTGCAGGCAGCTGTGTTAATAACAGGGTGCACTAAACCACTGTACTATCAAGGCTCTTTTCTCCACAATTGTTTCTATTGGGTATAGTTAAGGGTTTCACATTGGGTGAAGTAAAGCTGATATTGTATATGATTACAGCAGCGAGATTACTGATAGGTCAATATTGGAAAAATGAAGCTATGCCTACTGTTGAAGAATGGACTTTGAAGATGGCCAGTTTTGCAGAGATGGCGAAGATTTCAGCATATTTAAAAGATCGGACACAAGAGACTTATGTATGGGAGTGGAAAAAGTGAATAGATTATGTGCAGAATAAATATCAAACTAGGAAATATCAGATAGCTTTTAACTGAATGTATTATATAGGGATAGAATAATTGAATTGTGAAGATGTGAAAAATATATAGGGGGTGGAGAGGTTCAAGTTTTATAAAATGTGATTTTGATTTGGATTATATTCTGTGGAAGTCCTGGGGGGAGGGGAGGACTAGGGGGGTTAGGGAGGGTTAGGGGGGGTCAGGGAGGGTTAGGGGGGGAAATTGGGGAGAAAATGTATTTGTAAAACTTTTTCAATAAAAAAAAAGATTTATAAGCAGGCTGTAGAAGTTCAAAAGTTTAATTATTAAAAATTCCAGTTGAAAATATGTTTTCCAAGAATTTGTATGGCTACAAAAGAACTATAAGGGGTACTTGAGGAACTCTTTACTTTTCTTTGTGGGGAGATTATTCTAATTCAGGATCCTGTCTGGTTAAATGTGATAGAGATTAATAGCCTTACTGATATGTAATAAAAATTAAAACATATATAAATACTAAAGCAAATATATGTTATTTCCTCTGTTAGCCAAATTAACATTTACAAACTATTTTAATTGCTTTAAATATACATGAGAAGAAAAAATTCTATTATAATATGTAAATGACAATGGATTTCATAATCAGTTAGTCAATATTCAATGAACAAATAGCAACATTGTTAATTTTAAAACACTATGTTGAAATTGACTATCAAGATTTATTTGTAGCATCCATGACCAATATTACTATGTTACAAGTACCTTAAAAGGCAATTCAGACTATACAATTTTATGTTACATTTATGCAACTTTAAAACTCTGCTATATCAGAGCAAAGAGATTTGCCAGATGTCTCAAAAACACAATGCACCATTGTTGCTACCCCCAACTGTCTGGGATTCACAGGCCATTCTGCTTTAGAAGTCCCAGTTTCGGGTATTGGCTATTGATATGTTTACTCTCCATGATTTTTTTCTCAACCCCCATTTCCACAATAACCTTGCAGTAATACTTTCAACAAACCTATTGTAAATGTCATGAAGAACATTATTGTCTGTTCTATATTTACTACCAAAGTAGATGATGAAAGACAGAAATACTAGTATACTTCTCTATCTTACACAGAAGGCAAATAAAGAGCAAATTGGAGATTATACTTAGATACAGTATATTTGCAACAGAATCTTAACTATCCCTTTATTTGTACAGGATATGGTGCCTGGTCACTTGAGGACATCCTGTCTCCCATAACATTTACCTTGTGGGTTTGATCCTGCTGAGTTGGCCTGATCCGGGTTCCTTTGATTAAACAACATCATCTCTCAGGATCTCAGAAGCATGCCTTCTTTGTAGTGGTGCCTGACCTGTGGAACAAGGTCCTCCCCTCCAAGATCTGGATAGCCCCCCACTCTGCAGTTGTTTAAAAGATCCAGGAAAACCTGGCTCTCCAACCAGAGCTTTGGCCAAGGAGAGTGAAATATCTCTTTATTTGTTTGTTTGTTTGTTTGTTTGTTTGTTTGTTTATTTATTTATTTATTTATTTATTTATTTATTTATTTATTCGTTCGATTTATATGCCGCCCTTCTCCGGAGACTCAGGGCGGCTTACAATGCGTTATGCAATATCCTTCATACTTTTGTATATACCTGCTTAGTAGGGCTTTCAGCCCCCCCCTAAGCAGTGTTCTTTTTTATACAAAGTCAGCTTATTGCCCCCACAATCCAGGTCCTCATTTTACCTACCTCGAAAGGATGGAAGGCTGAGTCAACCTTGAGCCTGGTGAGATTTGAACTTGCAGTAATTGCAGGCAGCTGGTGTTACTTAACAGCACTTTAGTCTGCTGCGCCACCAAGGCTCTTATATTGGTAATGTAAGGACATTACATTGTCCTTACCATCTTTATTTTTTATGTTTTATTGCAAGTTCTTTGTTTTATTATTATTATTATGAGCCATCCAGGGTCATTGAGAGTTGGGAAGCATACAAGTTTAATAAATCATCTTCACCATTATCATCTACTGGCACATAGCAACCATAGGGCTCACAATTTTTGTTTAATTATCAAAAAGCAAGAGACATTATTAAAACATTTTATTTGTCTATTGAGGAAAGTCATTTTTGAGTTCAGACTTGTTCAGAATTCTGTAAGAGTTTGTGTTTCATTTACAGCCAATAAAAGCAGAAGCCTCTCTGACTAGCCTACCTCACACATCTTTTTTTTTTTTTTAAAGAACCTATCCTTTTAAGGCATTTTCCTTTTATTTACCACACCAACACTGCCTGTCTATGCCAAAAATCCTCTTCTAAGAGAGAGGACTTTTTGGAAAGGCCTAAGTGTGTGAAAAATTCACTACTGGACTTTTCCCCTTTTCATCCCCCCATTCCACATTTGTAGAGCTCTTCTGGGATACAGAGGTTTAGACAATTGCAATATAGAATTTTCTTTATGTAAATATCCTTGTTTACACCACACTGATAACATTCTAATAACACTTTTATTACATATAGAAAAGGAACAAATGAAGAAAGGGCAATTACTTTTCTAACGAAGCCCAGATCATAGCAGAGGCAAGATCTGAATGGATCTATTCAGATAGAATGGATCTATTTCTCCTTCAGTTTAATTGTTTTGTCAAACTAAGTTATGCTGATTCCCATGCACTAAAAAAGGAAAGTCAGATTTTCTTTACTAATCAACTACTATAACCCAGTAGATAAAGGGGAGGAAAGATATTGATACTGACATCAGAGTCAATAGACAAGTTGTTACTTTGAATAATTTTACCAAATCTGAGTACTATTTCTAAGTTTCTCTTATGGGCCAAAACATGCAAAACAGTTTGGATTTATAAAAGGAATAAAGATTAATAAAACAGGTATTAAAGTTAAAATACTAAAATTAAAATATTCTTACAATTAAATCAATCTGGGGGTCTAATATTAAAATAGTAAAGCCAAAATTTAAACCCAATATTGTTGCCTACATTAATTTCCTAATCAATTATATCAGAAGTATTATCTCAAACCTGATTCCCCCACCTGAAAACAAATCAATCAATCAATCTAGATATGTAGTAAACACTGTAAGATATGAATTAAAAATCTCCAATTTGGAAGCTAGTTTCTGAATGTTAATAACTTAGCTCTTTTTACCGAAATCTAGAAATGACAGACAGAGGTCCCTCATTTAAATTTACATCAAAATATCTATTTTTAAGCATTTGTTTATTTTAAAACATACTTACAAATTGCTACACTCTTGGCATATATCACAATAAATATCCTCTATGCCCCAGGAATGCAATGAAGCTCCAAGGGGATAGCCCTTAGAGCCTATCCAAAAGTTGCTAGTGAGGTAAATTTCAATTTGAGAAGAATTATTTAAATTTAGGAGATAAATAATATTGAATTTTTAATTCAATTCAATCGGTTGCTTCTGGAATGGTCCCCCAGCCAAAAGTTAAGTGTGTTTTCTTTAACCAGCCCTCAAGCCACTCCACATTTCGTATATACATCTTCCGAAATATACACTATATAAGTTATTTGGATAAACCGGTAGGACATACAGAGGACCAAGAGGAAGGAAAGAATCTAACGGGCGAGTCCTGTATTATTTCTCTAAGCATGTCCTCCACATGCTAAATGTAATGCAACGCAGAACTGGCGCATCTCGGCAACGAAGTCTGTACCAAAGACCACAAGCGCAAACAACTTTCTTTGACTGGACGAGCGCTCAGGTCCGGACGCACCTACTCGTTCTTACGCCAGGAGAAGCAAGATGGGGCTGAGAGTCCGGAACTCCACGGGCGCGCACGTGCCTGGCATGCAGACAGAGTCCCAGGTATGACGATCCCGAAAGATCGAGGGCGAAGCCCAACTGGAACAGCCTCTTTCTCCGAAAATCTGGCGACGGGCTACAAATCGAAGGTGGGCAGCTTCCCAACCCTGTAGAAAGGAAGGCGAACCCGCGCCTTATCCCCACCGCATTTCCGACGACATTCAAGTCCCAGGCTAAGGTCCACCCCGGGAACGACCTCTCGACCACGCCTCCGTCCTTGCTTACGGTCCTGCGCCACTTATAAATCGCTCCAAAGCGGGATAAAATAGCTCTTGCCCCGCGTTTGGAGACGTTTAGCGGACTGTGCCTCGTCGCTTTATCTTGCCCTCCCTCCGCCACTATTCTGCGCTGGGACTCACCTCACCTGGGACGACGCAGCAATATAGGCAGGAGGAAGGTGACCTCCGGCGTCTCCGTCGAATTTGGGACGGCGGCAGGACCTCCGGAAAGCGGCTGTTTTTCCAAGTCCACCTGCCTTCCTCCCTCCTCGCTGGCCTCCTACCTACAACGCCCTGGATACAAATCAAAGCAGCGAGTTTGGGGCGCGGAGGGAAAAGGGGCAGCAGCAACAGACGGCGATTCCACGGAGGGGTGGGCTGTAGCCAGCGAGGTCTCGCCTCGTGGTGGCGGGAAAAATACACGGGAGGTCGGGAAAAGCGGCAGAGAGTAGGAATCGTACCATCCAAGGTTGCTGCCGCCGCCGCCGCCCCAGCATGGTGCGGACCGAGACTGGGAGCCGGTGCCAGGCGCTACAGCCCTAGCTAGGCGATCGAACAGCAGCGGGTCTCCCAAGCTTCTGCTGCCGCTGCAATCGCGGCTGGGCTGCCTTGACAGAAGGAATTTACAACCCTGCACAGAGAACGGGGGACACCAGCACAAAGCTCCCCCCAGGTCCTAAAGAGAGCTGAGATACGTTACTGCGTACTGCGGAAGAGAAGCCGACAGCCTTTTTCGCGCTCAGTAAGAGGCAACCCTCCTCCTACTCAGACCGAGGCGGGGAAGAGTGGACTCCTGTGAATCAGTACCAAGAAGCAGCGACACTCGACATACTTCTCGTCTTCAGTGTTTACACCTGCTTTTTTTTTTTATTTACTGCCTCATAACGACTAGAAACGTGATTAAGTGATTCCAGGGTCATTATGATCATCATCATTAAAATGGTTGTTTGTATTAAATTCACAGCATTTTCAAAACGTGTAACAATGAATCTAGCAAGCCAAAGTCAAAACCAGGACACAGATGGACAACCTATGTAAGACAGAGAATAAAGATGCAACAAATATGAAAGGCTTATGAACAAAGTAGAGTTCTTCTTCCCACGAGTAGCATGAAACAACCTGAATGTGCTTCCTTCTAGAAAACTGTTGCATCGGTGATTATTTTCCGTTTCACCTCTATTTCTCTATTAGAAATCTATTTTATGTGCTTACTTATTTTTAGTTTTTTACATGTCCAAGACTTAACTTTATACTCTTATTTTTAAATTTTTCTCTATGAGTAAGTATCTATTACTTCTATACATCCTTCTAATAACCGTTCTAGCTATTTATACATACAGTCATGTGGTCTACCTCCTATGTGGTTGTCTATGTTTCCTGGTTAGGTTTTGCGTAAGTATTATTTTATCAATCCTATCTTTCCCTCTAGCCAGGAATACCATCTTTGCCAGACTGCATAATAATCAGTGTCCTCTTTCTCTTGTAGCTCTTTTGTGAATCTATCCATTTCTGCACATTCTGTTATTTTTGCAATTATTTTTTCTTCTGTTGGTAATAGTTCTGATTTCCAATTTTGAGCAAATACTATGCGTGCTGCTGTTAAGATATGAATAATGAGATATTTTATCTCTAGTCTGTTGTCGTGTGGTCATTCTGAATAAAAAAAATTCCGATTTCATATCAACCTTCTGTTTCATTATTTCTTCAATCATTATCTTGATTTCTTCCAGTAATTGTCAGCCTCCAACTTTACTGCTTTGGCTGCCATAAGAAACGGGTGGGAGAGAATTGGAGAGCGTGGGGGAAGTGTGCTGGAGGATTTTGAAGAAACGAAACCTAATCTCCGAAGTGGCAATCGGGTCAACCATCATTGCGTTCCTGATTGATGACGATGCCAGACGTGCTTCCATCTGACCTCTGGGAGACCTTTGGATTGGGTGATTGATGATGGACAGTGGGAGGGGATGCTTTCTATATGCAACTTTCGCGCCTATTGCTTTAGTTTCAGCTTTTCCTTGGTAGCGTTCATTTCATTTTCCATTAAAAGTACATTACTCTATAAATAATGGAGTTTGGCTCATTCTTTCCTGGACTTTGAAGGAAGCACACCTGACAGTAATGTTGTGCTCTTCTACAAGACCACCAGAGATGGTAATATGACCCCTTTTGTGACTTGCATTTCCAACACATTGGTGACACATTTGGAAACATTTTTGCCAGACGTGCAGGTGGAAGGTGCCATCTGTAAAACATCTTGTAAAGGTTTTCTTTATATGGTATCGACATTGTCAGTTTGAGATTTTCTGTCCATAATTTGTCCCATTTTTCCAATTCTATGTTGTGGCCTATATTTTTTGCCCATGTTATCATATTTTCTTTGACTGTTTCCTCCTCCAATTTATAGTTGTATTTTGAATTCCATTACTCTACTGGAGGCTTCTTGGTTAGCCCTCTTCCCTCACTTCTAAAACAATGTTTATTTCCGTCAAAAACACTCTAGATGGCGAGTTAAATCTTACTAGTTATATTAACTGGACTCATCAATCGTACCAGGCTAAACAATCTTGATGAGATCAAACTGAAACATACTACAGAAATCTTATTTTGGTGTTCATTTCAGGGAAAATTCTACTTTGGGGATTTTGCCAATAGGTTACCTGCCAGCAAATCAGACCAACTTCTCTTGTTAAGTCAGACTGGAAGGACTTGATTAAATAATGTTGAAGTCCTTCATGACTATCATATTCTATTAGTCATTGCAGGCAGAAGTCAGTCTAATTAATAGAGGAGCTTGCCTCTTAATGCAAGCTCCAACAGTGGATCAGATATACAGATGGCTTCAGGGGTCAGATATACAGATGGCTTCAGGGGTGAAATCTAAAAATTTTTGCTAATGGTTCTGTGGGCAGGGCTTAATTAGTGGGCAGGGCTTGGTGGTAAAGTGCCTGGGAGGGCATGGCTTGTTGGTCAGGTGGGCGTGGCCAAGTCAATGTCACTTCTTTGCCCTTTTTTAACCTGCAAAACACAACACAACACAACTGGCTCACCCACAATATAAAAGCAGCTGTGCTACACCCAAAATGGCCCCTGTAACAAGCAGGAACCTCACACAGCCATAAAAAGCCCAAAAAACCAACGTTCACACTTTACACACACAAAATTCCACATACAGCTTTGTGAGATTTTGTATGTTTGTGTAGTTAGAGTGAAACACTACAGAAACACACTAAATCTCAGAAAGCTGCACAAATATTTTATTTTTATTTATTTTTATTTTTATATAAAAGCAGCGAAATTTAAAACTTCCTAAACTTTAAATGGCTAGGTCTAAAAAAAGAACAACTAAAAAACCCCCCAATTAACTATTTTTTTAAAGCTCCCAAAGGGGAAAAAAACTTACCCAATAGAACAGGGGTCTCCAACCTTGGCAACTTTAAGACTTGTAGACTTCAACTCCCGGCCTACTTGATTGCAGGCAGGGAGATTCAGTTGCTTGCTGATGCAATGGATTGGGGATTACAGCAAGGCGTTGCGACCAGCAGCTAAAGTAAGCAAACTGAGGGGGGGAGGGGGAGGGATTTTGCTATCTATGAGCAGGCAACTCAGCTGGAGTCATCAGAGCTTGAATCGTCAGAACCATTTAAAACAGTGGTTCTCAACCTTCCTAATGCCGCGACCCTTTAATACAGTTCCTCATGTTGTGGTGACCCCCAACCAGGGGTGGGTTCTAAATATTTTTACTACCGGTTCTGTGGGCGTGGCTTGTTTTGTGGGTGTGGCTTGGAGGTCATGTGACTGGGTGGGCATGGCTAGCTGGTCATGTGACCGGGTGGCCATGGCTATGTGTATAGGGACTACTCAGAGGGCTGAAAAAAGTCATTTCTGACAGATCCTCGGATTTTTGACTGGTCCTCACACTTATGACCATCCTCACATTTATGCCTGTGTAGCATTCTTAACAACCTGTCACTCATTTCACAACTGCTTCTCTTCACCATGGTGACAAGATAGGGCAAAAACGTAAATTGTGAGGACAGTTGTAAGTTCAAGGACTGGTCAAAAGTGTGAGGACCAGTCAAAAATAACTTTTTCAGGCTTCCGGTTTGACTTCCGTCGCCGCCAGACCGTCTTTCGGGACCGCCAGCCTCGTTGCCTGTAGAGCCGTCTCTACAGCTGAGAGACGGCTCGAAAAACTCCGTCTCCTCAAGGAGATGTGAGATAGAGCTGGCGAGGGCAGGTAGAGCCCTCTGCGAACTCCCCAGAGTTTTTTATTACTCTTGGGGAGGAAGCAGAATGTGGCTCCCCATACAGCTCGCCGCTGCTCCGGGCTTCGAGGGAACTCTGCTCCTTGCAGAGCCAGGTGACAGAATCAATCCATTCAATGAAAATCAACAGATTGCTTAAACAAATAGGATGAAATCCGGATTTGGGACCCTAAATTGCAAGTATTTCTAACAATTTTATAAGTGTTTTTAAAAGTGAAGGAGAAAAAGTTTAAAATGGCGACTGGCTGAGGCTTGAGAAGAAGAAAGCTGAAAGCGAAAGTCCTTCTGCCTGAATAGTTTAACACATAACAAAGTAGCAAAAATAATAGCGCTGGCTGGAATTGAAAAGAAAAATTTCTATTCTATGTTTCTTCCTTCTTGGAGACTTGATATTGATATCGTTTGGAGAGAAGTCTTTTTTTTTTAAAAAAAAGAGTTTGTCTGTGTGGCAGGATGGCGTTAAAACTGATAAAGCCAGACAAACAAGCAGCGGGGGGGGGTTCCCCCTTTTACAAACCATATGAACAAGTTTTGAACTTGCAGACTCAGAATGGCTTTAAAGACCTAAAGGAATTTGTCTTGGAGGAGATGGCAAGACATGATGAGATTGTGAATCAGAATCTTGAAAAATTCAGGCAGGAAATTAAGGAGTTGGTACAACAAAAATATGCCAATCTGAAACAACAGATTGTAACAGCTTTGCAAACTTTTTCAGAAATAGTTATAAAGATGGATAAAGATACCAACTTAGAACTAGAGTCTAAAATGAAGGAAGCTGCTCATAAAATTTATAATCTGGACAATAAAATATAAAGAATTGAAAATGATTTGATAAATATTCAAGACATTTGCTCAGAAGTAAAGTCTAAAAAGGAAGCTGATCACAAGACTTATAATGCAGATAATATAAAACAAGGGATTGAAAAAGAAGTCACAATGATGCAATACAGGTCCATGCAATTTGCGGTCAGAATGAGGGGACTACAGGAAAATAATAGAGATGATTTGAGAAAGATGTCTGCTGAAGTTCTGGCTGTGATTTTAAAGGTTAGTCCTGAAGAGGTATCCTGTAAGATTGACAAGGCCTACAGAGTAAATTCTTGGGTGGCAAAGCAAAAGCAGTTGCCTAGAGATGTGGTGATTTACTTTACTGATAAAGGAATAAGAAATGATATTGTGCAAAAGTCTTTTAACTCCACTCTAGAAATGAACGGAAGGAAGATTTGGATATATAAAGAGCTGCCGTCTAAGATATTAAAGGACAGAAAGGAATTTGGATTTTTGGTGACTGAGCTAAAGAAACAAAACATCCCATTTAGGTGGGATGCTCCAGTTGGCATAATATTGAGATACCAAGGAGAAAGATATCAATTAAATACTGTTGGAAAAGCGGAAGAATTTTACTACAAGGTTCTTA